TCCACTGTAATTTAGCAACAAATTGATTCTTTCTTGCCAAGTACTGGAAATAGACAAGGGTCATAGACACTTTCTGGTGGCAAAATTTTACAGCCAGGAAATCACTAGTCTCCCGACAGCGGTCATGCTATCACATCATTGCCACAGGTGTCTAGGCCAAAATTAGATTTCCCCGGGCGATTTGTGCAATTCTGCTACTCAGTTAGCGTGTATGATCATTCAACGTCTTCAGACAATGACTTCGACAAGAGTGTGGAATACATAGCAACCTCAAGATTGTCACAACGTCAATGTCACAAATTACTGACTACTTCAGACAAATTAATTTTACTGAAGAGTTGTTTTCATTTGGTATGAACACGCCTGGCTTAAGTGATACCCAGACATGTTTGTCTGGGCTGAAATTTGGCTTCTTTCTAATACTTGAACAAATGATTTATCTTTTCAGTGGAAACTTGTTCTAGCAATGAAGATGGAGAAAGAGAAAACGCAGATTGACTGTCTGGACTGGAGGGTATAACACATTTCTAAGATGACATAAGATTTCCTGGCCTGCTGATTACACAATTCGAAATATAATACTCAGCTTTTGAAGTGATGTTTATGGAAAATTGTCTTTTTTGTAGAGGTCATGAGTAATGACAGTCCTGCTGCCAAGCGACTGAGGTCTTCTGAGGAAAGTCAAACATCACCAGAGATTGAAGATAAAATCAAACCAAAGAATATCAGATGTATATTGAAGCTTATACATATGTAGACCTATGTAGCATTCATTAAATTTGTGCAAGAATTCGCTGATATAAATCACCCCCTGTTTTCACGTTGATTTTAATTTAAAATTATCAAGAAGAAAAGCTTATTATGAAAACAAATTGATTATTCCTGCTGGGAGCTATTTGATTTTTGATTCCAGCTCACTCGAGCTTTAGTGCCAAAAGTAATGATGTCAGGGCAAACTGGTTCTTATGATACCCAAATAAGTCTTGGATTACGTAGTTTTTAAAATAGCTAGCAAACTAGTCTGACTGACCAGTAAGAATTATTGTTGATATGAGACATATAGAATGTGTCTTCATAATTGAACAACAATTTGAAGGAAAACAAAGAGTAAAAACATGATCAAGATTTTATTTTCTGATTTGTACAGCCCTACTGGATGAACTGCTTATAGAAGTTTTTAGGCATTTTAGCTTGAAGGAAATTGTCACAACCTTAAGCAAGGTTTCAAAGAGATGGTATAACATTTCAGATGACAGATGGGTCTCTGGCATAGTCTACCTCTTGGTAAGTGGAACATTTACCATTTGACCAAAGCTCAGTTTCTGAACATTATTTCACACTTCAGGGCTTTTTTCGCATTTTTCTATGTCTTATGTCGACGTCAAAGTATCCCAGTCCAGGTTAAATGAGATACTACTTAACAGTCTACAAGTGGCTCAAAAGCTAACACACTTAAGCCGTGTTCACATTAGGCCTCGATTATGATCGAATTATAATCGAAATGGGTTCACATCAACTAATTATAGTCCCTGATTTATAATTGGATTACAATTAGTTCCAACAACCCCAAGGGGGTTGTTTGAAGTAATTACAGTGCGTGATTAAACAAAATGGCGGACACGTGGTGGTTTGAGGAAACCAAACTTTTGATCGCTTTATGGAGTGGAGAGGCGGTACAACACGAGTTAAACACCATGCACAACAAGAAACTCATATGGGACAAAATAAGCCAAGGAATGGCCGATGGAGGGTACTCGAGAAGTGCACAACAGTGTCGTGTTAAAATTAACAACCTCAAGCAAAAATATCGCAAGATTCGCGACGGCAACAAAATTTCTGGAAACCAACGACAAGAATGGGAGATGTTTGAACCAATGGACCGTGTTCTTGGCTGCACACTAACCTCAAAACCTAGAGTGGTCGTTGACTTGATCAAGCAGTTCTAAAGAGGACAAAAAGATTTCCAAAGTGAAGTATCCTAATGATGGCGACGAAGCCTTTGGCAGTGTGGTTGATGTTTCATTCTCATCCCTCTCCAATGAAGATGAAAACGTTGTGGCAACTCCCAAAGAAAAGAGCAGATGCACAAAGACAACCAACATAAGTCTGGTGAAAAATCGTAACATTGTAAGCAAAGGCGGGATAGAACATGTTTCTACGCAGCCTTCTACCTTAACAAAAGATCCGGAATTTACTAGCAAGAAACGCAAGAAACCTTGTAAAGAGGATAAAATTTCTGAAGCATTATCAACATTAGCCAAAATACAAAGGGAGCAGCAACAGTTATTTATGGAGATGGAGGAAAGACGGGCCCAAAAAGAATTGGAGTTGGAAGAAAAACGAATGGAGCTTGAGCAAGAAAATGATCAATGCAGGGAAGCATTTATCATGCAAATGATACAGATACTTGCTTAGAGCAAAGACACAAGAACTGTGGTCCTGCAACATTGACTGATCAGGTTAAAATAAACAAATGAATATATTGTGTTTAGTTATATGAATATTTAATGGTTGTACTTCGTATCGTTTCTTTTGATCAAGAATTTTGAGCAGAGTTCGTTAAAACTCGTGCGTCATGGACACGTCCTGGCCAAGAAACGTTGATATTCCGAAAACATAAGTGACTATCCACAAATCCTTGTAAAATAGAGTGAAACCCTTTCCTGTTGTGATAATCTTCCTGATCATCTTTTGGACAAATAATTGGTATCTGGCAACCATCTATCGCCCCAATTACCTGGGGGAACCCCTTTTTTCCCTCAAACTCTTCCATAATTTCTTGTACTTACGTTCTCGTATTACTATGTAATGTTCAAGTTCAGTGCACAGCTTGTTAAATGTGACTTGCCCCATTTGGAAGTGCTCCATCCAATCCTTATCATCCCATTCACGCTCAATCAAAGTCCACCAATGCTCGCTCCTTGGCTTACTCCAAACTGTTCTAACGACGGTTTGATCAACAACTATAAACAGGAGGGCTAAAACGAAGGTAAGTGCTTGCTTGACCAAAAACTGTCTCATCCGTTGTTGCTGTTTCAGACCGAGTATTTTCCTTCTTCTAGCCTTTGAAGCTTCCTTTGCCTTTCCTCAAGTCAAGTATTGCAGTGAATGTCATGGAAACTGTTCGATAGGGTGCCACTTTGTTTTCAACTTTAGATTGCGAGGTTACCCTGCCTAGTCTATTTGAATTTTCGCAGATGTGAACAGAACCATAATTGAATAAAATCGAACGGAGTATGATAGATTTAATTGTAATTCAGTTGAATATAATTAACATTTAGTGTGAACATGGCATTAGATTAAAGTGGTCAGCCAATACGTACCTTAAATTGCTTACCAAACCAAAAGTCTGAAGCTGTTGGTCTGGAAGTGCTAATTCTTAATGACTGTTTATATATTGATGAAAATAGTTTCAGCGAGTCCATAAAAAAACAAATGAATAAAATTAACATTTTCTCTATGAACCTTCGTTGTTTTCTTACGTGTAAAAGGAATACCACTGTCACTGATTGATGTTAGATTTATTGTGGATAGCTGCAAAAATCTACAACCTATGGAATGTCTCACAGCACCAATGAAAGAGAAAACGAATGCAGTCTTCTGGCGTCAGAACGTGATGTTTCCTTATTGATATACAGAAGAGTTTTTAAAACATGCTGTAAGCTGCTTTGTAATTCCATAATTGAGTAATTTTACGTGTATTAAAAAATTGCACTAAACAATTGCTATATGTTTTGATGTTATTATCAAACCGATTTGTCAAGTGCAATATTTAAATGGTTAAATCACTTAACCAACTTGGCATAAATTGTAAAAGCCTCTTTGTCTGTCTTTTTCTTTCAGCCACTACAACGGATGCTGACACCAGCATACCGTTGGAGAATTCTAGCAAACACATCAACAATTTGGGATTGTACTATACGATAGCACAATAACTATTTAACGACCAAAAGCTAGAACTCCTAAAAAATTCTTGGACACCACCTAGAAGCTACAATTTCCCTCAAACCCATTTTTATGGAAAGATCAGAGCATTTTGTTTCGAGTGGCTTACTCAGTTCTGTGGCTGATCTACTCTATGGCTTGGGATGGAGTGTTTTGCTGCTTTTGTGTTTTGTTTGGACACCTGCCAGGAAAGAACAGTGACTGCCTTGACAAACTATATAAGAGTCCTTTAATGAACTGGGTATCCGCAAGCACAAAGTTCAAGGGACACTGGCTTAATTCCGAATTTCACAAGACAGTGGTTGGTTGCGCTGAAGATTTCCTTCGGGTACAGCAAGGGAAATGCCATCTATCTCACAGCAGCTCAGTGATATATATCACAACACTGTTGAACTTAACAGACAGAAGTTACGATCTATCATAGAAACTGTTGTGCTTTGTGGTAAACAGAACATAGCATTACAAGGCCACCGTGATGACTTGTCACACATAGAGGAAGCTTCAGGCAACCCAGGAAACTTTCAAGCACTGCTGAATTTCAGAGTGGAAGCTGGCGGTAAAGTGTTTGTGAATCATTTTGCCAACGGCCCAAGAAATGCAACATACTGCTCTAAGATGATCCAAAATGAGATCATAGAAGTGTTAGGCACTTACATCCAAGACAAGAGCATTGCAGAGATCAATGAAGCAGGTGCATTTTTCCTACTGGCGGATGAGGCAAGTGACAGCACTAACAAGGAACAACTACCACTCATTCTAAGGTTTTGTCAACAAAGAGAATTGTCAGTGAAGAATTCGTGGGTTCTACAAGTGTAAAGACAACGTCACTGGTCAAGCTATAGCCTTTCTTATAATGAAAGCCAGTCAAGAACTTGGCTTGTCTATGGATTACTGCAAGGGACAGTGTTATGACGGTGCAGGCAACTTGTCAGGACCTTGTAATGGTGCTGCAGCCATTGTCAGAAGGTAATATCCAAAGGCTATATACACTCATTGTATGGCTCACCACCTAAACCTCTGTTGTGAGTGCGTGCAAGATGCAGAATGTTTGAAATATGTTCAATACAGTTGGAGAGGTAACTAGATCCTTCGAGTATTCCCCGAAGAAAGAAGCTCTCCTTGTCCAGAAAGTGAAAGACGTCTGTCCTGAATTCCACTGTCACAAGCTCCTCGATGTTGGTAGGACCCACTGGATTCAGCGTATAGATGGTTTGGAGGTCTTCCTAGAGCTTTTTGAAGCCATTGTTGCAACACTGGAAACCATCAAAGCAACAGGAGAAAGAAGTTGGAATGCAGATTCAACTAAGAAAGCAGTTAGTTATTACCACACCATCGCTAATTTTGACTTTGTTATTACCTTGATAGTCTGCCGGGCAGTTTTGGTGTTAAGATGCAAGATTAAGATGTTAAAATTTAACAGTTAAGATGCAAGGCACATCCAGTGACATAGCAACATTAGAGATGTAGTTAAAACGTTATCTTCTGTGCACCAAAAGGTACAAGAGAAACATGGAAGAAGCATGCCAAATTGCCGAGAAGCTGTGCATCACAGTGCAAAAACCAAGAACCTGTCAGGTACAGCGCAACTGTGCAAACACCCCTGCTGAAACGATAGAAGACCACTACAGTAGAAATCTCCCAATTCCCTTGGTTGACCATCTGATCAATGAGCTAGAAAATAGATTTGGCAGTGGTGACCAAGAAACAGCAGTGCAGTGCCTATTTGCTGTTCCGTCAATGCTAGTGGCATCAAAAGAAACATGGATGATTTCCTTTGGCCAGTTTTCCACATTCCATGAAGGTTCATTGCCCTCACCTTTGGACCTTGATGCCAAGATGACTTTATGGCAAAGGAAGTGGGAACAACAAGATCCCAAGACTGTCCCAATAACTGCATCAGCAACTTTGAAGGAGATCGACCATACAATGTATCCTAACATCACAGAGTGTCTAAAAATATTTTCCACCTTACAAGTCACCACATGTGAGCATGAAAGGAATGTGTCAGCTTTGAGGCGGCTGAAAACATTTACGAAGCACGATGTCACCGACGAGATTGACAGGACTTTCCTTGCTGCACATTCATTACAACATGGACATTGACTTTGAAGAAATAATTCGCAGATTTGCAAGGCTTCATCCAAGAAGAATGGAACTGGCAAATATATTGTGTGACTGACTCAAAAAACCAGGAAAGGGTACTTTAGGTAGTTAAATTGAAAACATTTCCCAGTGGAGCATGCCCCTGGACCCCCCCTAGGAGCTTGTGCCTTCCATGCACATTTTGCAGTAAATCAGTCAAAAGTTTTCCTCGATCTGCGCCTGCAAGTGGTTTTGGCAACTGGACAAGTGGGTTGCCAATCTTACTTGTCCTTTGGACAAGTGAATCTTCAGAAAAGAATTAAAAGAACAAGATATTTTAAATGTTTCAGTGGAGAAATTAGGATACTTTTAAGTTTTTCCTAGTGTAAAACAGATCACTTTTCGCAAAAGAAACTTACAAGTTAGAAATGAAGGACACCTTCCCGTGGGTAGTACATGATGCGAACCAAGATATGGTGTATTGTTTCGGATGTAGAAGGTATCCAACCTTTGCAAATCGACAAATTTTTTTGTACATTGGCTGTGGATCAGGTGGAAGGTATTGCAGAGATTCTCTTGTTCATCATAACACGTCAAAGGAACATTATTGTTGCTCACTACAATTTGAAAAAGATTATTCAAATCCTCAGTACATGGAACCAATTAAGGCAGCTGTTCAAAGAAATGTGCTTCAAATAAGTGAAAAGTTTTTTTCTGCACTTCAGTGCCTGCTCAACACGTCCTTTTTTGTAGCACACGAAGAACTGGCCTTGAGAAGATTTGCAAGCCTGTGTGAGTTACAGAAGAAGAATGGTGTTCAATTTGGGGACCAGTACAAGAATGATAAAGGATGCAAAACATTTATTAGCCACATAGCCCAAGTAGAGAAAAGGTATTTTCTATAGGAGTTTATTACGGAAAGTCAGTGTTCACACTTTGTTTTTCTATCTCACCTTTGTGTGCATTACTGTTACGTAATACCTGTCAAGTATGCATGATTTCTGTACCACATGGGAGTAAGGTGTCATAGCATGTACTGCTATATAGTCCAGTGGCCGTATGCTTATTTCACTTCTCGCGTCACCAATATAGCTTTGCTGTATTCTGCTTTCGTCCAGTTCGTTTTTTGTAAGCTATGCCTGGAAGGGGACCGGACGATCTTCACGAAGAACCAGATATTCCCACCAATCCGCCAACAGATCCTCCCACATCGCAAGGGATTGATGAAGTGTTCTCTCTCTTCAAGACATATCTTGAAAATCGTTTGGAACAGAAGGGCAAAGAGCTCGAAGAAAAACAAAAAAACGATTTGCAGGCAGAGAAGTTCAAATTCAAAAGTAACCAAAAGCAGTTCGTATTCAACGCCGAGCTTGAAGAATTAGTAGGAAAAATCAAAGAAGCAAACGCCCAGAAGGATCACAAGAAGGTGGCTCACTTAACGGATCAAGCCAAAGCTCTGTTGTAAGACAGAAGCTTATCAAACTCGCAGACTTGAGTGAAGCCGGCTGGGATGCAGTTCAAGAATACGAATCCCAAGATATCGCCTCGGACGATGAGGACGACAAGAAAATTCGCAATGCTAGAGCCGCAGCTAATAGGAAAAGGAAACAGAAAGAAAGAGAACGACAGCAGCAGAGCAATAAGAAGCGTTGTACAACTCCCAACCTGGGCACGCAGGATCATCATCTTTTTCGTGGTATTTGTATCGCTATTGTTTTTACTTTATATTCTTCCTGTTATTCACTCAGGTGCTTTGTTATTTTCTCGTGTTATATATATTGGCTCTCCGTGAGTTACCAACCCATTTGACTGTGGTTGTCGTGTTGTGCAAGTTTAGAAAATAATTTTCATGTGTGCGAACGCAGTGAGTTAAAATGAAAGGTAAAATTCAGTCTACAGTGAGTGATAGTAGATTTATATCCATTATTATCAGATGGATCTACTGATTCTGGTATAGTAGAGTAAGAAACTGTGTCTGCCAGATATGTTAACAAGAAAGGCTGGTCAGTTTGTCATTTTGTGGATATTCTTCCCCTAGAATCTGCTAAAGCAGATGGAATTTTACATGCATGGAGTTTGAGATGCCATTAAAATTGTCCCTTATCTGCAATCTTTCATGGACAGTGTATCCCAGATCTTTTGATTTTACTACTACTCTCCAAAAAAAAGGAGGGAACTTCATGGTTTTGCAGACATCTTTGATGAACAGGCCGCCTATCACAGCAGTGGCTCTCAGAAAACCAGATGGGTTGCCAGTAAACACAGTGCTTTGTTGGCATTTGAGAAAAACTTTGCTATTACTGTAAAACATCTTGAACATGTGGGTACAGGGACTAGTGAGGATGCAACAAAAGCTAGAGACATGGTGAAAGCAATCAAGACTGAAAAGTTTGTAAGATTTTTGTACTTTCTCCTTGATGTACCCAAAATTCTGAGAGAATCAAGTCTACAGTTTCAAAGTGATTATCTGTTCATTACTGAAGTCAGCACAAAGTTGGAGACAGCTCTAACAAAAGTGGAAGGCCTTAAGGATTCTGATCTATTGCCCATAGCAGTTACTTTCCAAGCCAAGTTCCAGTCTAACTATAATTCTGAGAGTGGCCTCTTCAAATGTGGAAAGGACTGTAATCTTGATGTTGTACTGAACAAGGGGAATGCAATGGGGATGTAACAAACATTTTTTAACTTTCTAACTGATGCTATTGCCTACATTGAGAAGAGATTTTCAAGCCTGTCTGAACCCCCAATGAATTACTTTTAAGTATGTGATCCTACAAAGGTGCCAGGGGAGAGAAAGCTGAGAGCCACTTTTAGCAAGGACAAAGTAGCTGCATTAACTGATCACTTTAGTAACCTTTTGTTGGATGATGAAAATGAAGGCGCTGTTTTTCAGTGGCAGGAGTTGAAGATTTACCTCCTCAATCACCAAGTAATGAAACCCCTTGATATCTATGCCAACTTATTATCATCCAGGCCAGATAGCCTGAAGCATATTCTTGTCTTAGTTGAGCTAATACTCTCCTCTTCCACTGCCAAATGTGAGAGATGCTTCTCGGCTATGGACAAGATAAAAACAAATTTCAAGACTAGAATAGAGAAGAGAACCTTGTCAGATCTGCTGAGGATCAAAGGAATGGACCTTGAAATGAAAGACTTTGACCCTAACCCAGCAACTGAAGCTTGGCTTCTTAGTGCGAAGACAAAGAAGCATGCAATGAAAAGAGGCAATGATGCATCAGTGGTTGTCCCCACAGATGGCCCATCTGTCAGTGAGCCCTTCCAAGCTCTTCCTCCTTTGCCCAAGTTACCTCAGATGGACAGCAGCTCTGAAAGTGATTCAGAGTAGTGACTTGCATATTTAAAGACTCACAATTCAAACAACACTCTAAATAAGTATACTATTACTTGTATGCATTATGAGTACTTTCTTGATACTTAAAATTCAGTGTACATTATTTCAGTTCCAAAATAAAAAGGTTTAGGCTTCATTTACATTATCATGCATCAAAGCTTGCCTTTGACTCTACATCCAAGGACAACGAGACTTGAGGTTTAGAAAAGTAAAACCTGAACCTCACTTGTCCATTGGACAAGTGGAGTTTAAAATTTTTTTCTTACCCTGACCCAGAAATGAAATCTGCAGAAATCTGTAAAAATCTGCTCTGGAACTCGATAAGAAGAATTATTGACTGGTAAGTAACCTCCAGTTCTTGGCTAAGCTTCAGAGAAAGTATTTGCCCAACAAGCAGTTTCTTATGCTATGACATGCAGGCTTTTCCCTGAGCTGCAATCAGGTTATCGGTGTAATGTTTTTTGTCAGCATTTTAAGGATAAGTTTGGATTTTGTGGAACTGCATTGGAGTTCCAACATGTTGTAATAGACAGCGCAGCATCTGTCAAGTTTGACATCAGCTTTGGTTTACCGTAGGGTCCTTGCCTCCAATTCAATAGAATTGACTTTAAGATAATCTTTATAAACTATAAGGCTATTCATGGAACAGCATCAGAGTATATTAAGAATTTAGTCTCTCTTAAGCAGAACTCCAAGTATGGACTACAATCTACTAACACAATGCTACAAACACCATCAACTATAAGAACCTTGCTAATTCTTTTTGACTGTTTTGTTGTTGTTTTGACTTTTCTGCTGCTGCCACTTATCTCTGAAACTCCTTACCAATAGACATAAGAGAAGAGCAGAGCCTTAATACTTCCGAGAAAAAGCTTGAGACTCATCTTTTTAGGATCACATATTTGAATAAGTATTTTACATTTCATAACTTTTAATTAACTTTTTAGAACTTTTAGCTTATTACGCAGTTTTGTATTCATTTGTTTTTATATATTTTTCAGATTGTATGGTGCATTTGAAACAAAACAAGGTTAAAATATATAAAAATAGTAGTGATAGAATAGAATAAGTAAATGCTGTTGTTTAGTTAAGAAATCAATGTAACTAGATTTAAAATATTATTGTAGCAATTCTCTGTAACCTTACAGGAAGTGAAAAACCATTGTCTTGATGTTACTGTTTGGGGGGTTCAAATAAGTTCTAATGATTTTAATGCTCATTCGTTCGTCAGATTTCTGAAGGTGTCACCAATTTTGATTCAGACCTCTATAATGGAGTAGTTAGTGTCCTTGCAGATTATGGGCTTCCCATGAAATTGACAGCAAGGATTGTGAGGATTGTTTCCTTGAGTTTTAATTACTTTTCTCAAATGCTAAACGAACAAATCAAGAAACCAAATCCTCAAGATCAACTTATTAGAAATAATACAGTTACATACTTAATTACTTGTTTCTTTATTTATGATCAGTTTTTTTCCAGAATGATAGCATGATGAGAGTGATAAGGAACCTTACTGTCCATGATGCAATAGCTGGTATCTCTTAATTGGTCTTAGAGATGTACCCTGACAGCAAAGAACTGTTTATTGAAAGCAGACAGTGAGATGACCATAGATGACATAAAGGGTTCTCCTTCAGTTCCCACCAAATTTGAGAGCAGAAGAAATCATTGACAAAGAAAATTTGCTCAAGCTCACCATGCCTACCTCAGATTGGGCTAGGTGTCATCAACATAGAGTTTGACAATATCAAATTTATCTTCTCATTCACACGTTCATTTTATGTAACATTGAAAAGATCCTTCCCAGACCAAGGTAAATTTTCTACTTCACTCAAGGCTATCTGGGAATCAATAGAAAAGCCTTTTCTAGCCTTGTTTTATTTCCTTAGGTATTGCTGTAAGATGGATTCCAGCTTTTTGAGGTATAATACAGTTTGTCATAACACATTGTGTATTTCACTGTAAATCTGTAACCACAACTTATCATTTTTGTAACATTGCTGTTTAACATTAACTGTTAGGTTGCTGAAGATGTCACAAATCTTGATAACAGCCTCAATTAAGAAGTGGCTAATGTCCTTTAAGACTGTTGGCTTCCCATGAAATTAACAGTGAGCATTGCCAGGATTGTTTCCTTGAGTTTCGCATTCTTTTTAGAAAAGAAGAATAAATCAAGAAACCACATTCTCAAACCAATTAACAATGAGTTGGAGTCCTTCTTAGTCTTTACCACAAGTTCAACATGTGTACCCCAGTTTTGGCTCAGTGTCATCAAGATAAAGTCCAACAATACAGAACCTATCCTTCTCATCCACAAAATAATTTTGTATAACATTACAAAGGTTCATCCCAGACCATGGTGAAGGGACTACCGCTGGCCAACCGCTGGCCATATACCGACGGCTCAGTAGGACTGGTGACGAGTGGAGAGTCGGCCATGTTGTTTTAAAAACACTTGAACTCGTTTCGCATGGACGGATTAATCTGATTGTACTTATTGTCGTAAGTTCGTTATTCTTTATTGCGTTTAGCTTTATTGCTCTTGTCATTCAGCGTATTTATACTGTGTTTCATCCTGTAGAACTGTTTCATCGTTGTAATTAAAGCATAATCAACCGAGGAGTTTGCTTCACATGGTAAATCTTCCTCTTCACTTAAGGCTGTACGTGAGAACAATGGAATAGCCTTTTCTAGCCTGGTTTAGTTTTTTTAGGTATTGCTGTATGGTGGATTCCAGCCTTTGCCAATAATAATGCAGTTTTTTGTCTACAGGTTTTTATTCTCATTTTTTTAAATTTTAATTTGTAATAAATGCAACATACACTGCAATGTAATATACAATGTAGGTACATCTTGTAGTTTTTTTCTTTTCTTGGGCTCATTTTTCATGTTGTATTTCTATAAGTACTTTGTTACACTTACACGATTTTAACAGGCTCCCATTTAATTCAAGCTTACTGCGTAACTTTATATTACTTCATATTGACATGTTTTGTACCTTTAAGTTATTCTCTGTAGACTCCCATTCAATCCAGCTTACCAGCCCGGATAAATGCTGCTAATAAATTAGTATATAAAATAAATTTTCACTTTCAACCTGTAAATATTATCAACTTAAAATCGAATTCATAGAGTCAGTTTTGATAAAATGTTGAACTTTTGTGGACTTTTTTTTGTCATTATTTATTATACTATATACATTTATAAATCCATTTCATAATTGAGACCTCAAGGAGGTCGGTTGGAACACACTGAAGAGGATTAACTGCTGTCTAGGCAGGCCTTCAAACTGTAGCTGCAATGTTCTTCAATGGACTTCTTTTTTGTCATTATTAATTAAACTATATATATCTAAAAATCCATTTCATGATAGAGCCCTCAAGGAGGTCAGTTGGAACACACTATGAAGAGGTTTAACTGCTCTCCATGCAGGCCTTCAAACTGTAGCTGCAATGTTTTCACAACACAGCACGAAAGCAAAGGAGAACTCTCCCATAAATGCCTGTATGTGTTCAACTAACAACAAAAATGAAGAGCCAGTATTGTTTATTTGCCGGCTGTGAATCAGGAAAGAAGAAGTTTGGACTATGGTAGGCAGAGAATTTGACAGAAAAAAGAACTGTCATGCTTCTTTCTAATGTTTCACCACCTTTAACAGTTGCAACTGAAGACAATGCCATGTAGTTCCTAACACATGAACATTACAGTGGTACAGGTAAGAGTAAGTCTGTTTACCAAAAATATGGCTGATCAGGTCAGTGTATGACTGTTTTCTGTAGCATGGGTTGACTGAGAATGTTCTGGAATGAGAAGCCCCAATAAGCATATTGATTTACATGTCTATGTAACTGCTGTGTCTACATACTGCAGATTGTTCATCCAACTTCCCTGGTGTCAATTACCAGAGGCATTATTGTTCTATAAAAAAGTAACTTGAAAAAGAAACCTGAAATAAAAGTACTACAAAACAGTGTTTTATATAATTTCAATTTTCTCTATGTATGTATTTTTTTTTTCTTTTTTTGTTAAATGCCATTACCAATCAGGTCCTGTAGCAGCTTAGCTACTTTTTAAGAAATATTTGAGCATTACTTTTTGGGAAAGCATTCAGTGCTAGTTTATAATACTTGATGCAATGGAAGGCACTTTTGAATATGTTCATAGTTTTAAAAGCTATATAAATGTTTATTATTAGAATTCTAATGTGAGAGCCTGTTATTATCAACAATATGAACATTGAGGTTGTTCCATCCGCTAAATTGCTATGTTACGATAACGAATGATTTGAAATGGAATGTGCACATAGAAATGATATGTAA